TAGAAAATAAAAACCGACTTTGAACTCATTCTGTATCAATAGTATCAATCTCATCTACACGTGTCTTGCATTTACTCTCAGAGTCACATACTCTTGTTTTGCACTGAACAGCAGTTAGCAAATGAAGGTGTCTCTCTCCCAGGGGATTGTGCTCTGAAGGTACTCCCTGTTCAGCCAGAACCACACTATCAGGTGTTCCCAGCATGGCTTTGCCAGCTTCAGCAGTTACTGCAGCCAACTCAGAGACGCTCCTTTCAAGCATATTTATTAATAATTTGTAAACAGGAGAAAAAGTGGAAGATAGACAAAGACAGCAAGGTTAAAGATCACAGAGTGACTGAGGTTGGAAGGTACCTTTGGAGGTCCTATGGTCTAACCTCCCCTCTCAAATGAAAGCCACCCACACGCAGCTGCCCAGGACCATACCAGACAGTTTTTGAATATATTCAGAGATGAAGATTTATCAGCCTCCTTGGGGAATCCATGCCAGTGCTCAATCACCTTCACAGTAAGAAAGTATTTTCTCTCTTCAGAGGGAACCTCTCATGCTTCAGTGGGTGCTGTCACCGGGCTTCGCTGAATAAAGCCTGGCTCCCCCATCTTTGTGCTCTCCTTTCAGTGTTTGTACACAGTGATGGAATTCCCCCCAGCCTTCTTTTCTCCAGGATGAAAAATCCTAGCTCTTTCAGCCTTTCCTCATAGACGAGATGGTCGAGTCCATCATCTTCGTGTCACTTTGCTGGGCTCTCTCCTCTAGTCCCATTTCCCTCTTGCGCTGGAGAGCCCAGAACTGGACACAGCACTACAAGTGTGTAAAATTTTACACTTAGAACATAAGTAAATAAAAGAAAGGAAAAAAAAAAAGGGGAAAAAAAGAGGAAACATACAACTGAGAAATCTAAAGAAAGAATCTTTTTCTACAGAAAACATTGAAATAACCAAAAGTAGAGACAAGCTATGCATTACTAACAGACCTCAAAAAACCAGCACAACAACACAATCCAGGTGTAGAGAAGTGTTAAGTCAGCATTGTATTCTAAGCTATTTGTGCATGAATGTTCTTTATTGCAATAATCTTTGCTTCTCCACAAGCGAATGGCAAAGTGATACAGACCCGACAAAGCATCATTATGCTTAATTCCTCATGTGATGACAATTCCTCAGTTTTCCCATGGCAGCAGCTTTTGGCTAGTAGCAAGGTGAACCAGTCACCTTTAAGTGAAGGATATTACGCTTCTCCTAAAACTGCTACTGTGTCTGGCTTGCTTCTACAGCAGTGCTCACAGAAAACAGAACAGATCAACAAGAAAATAACAATGCAAAAAAGCTCCAAATAAAATACAGAAAAGCTATTTTATAGCTGTCTTATTTTCCCTTTAAATTATACTTGTACAGAACAAGGAAAAGAAACAATTTAACACCTCTTATGCTGGAGATAAAAGAAAACTGGGCTTACATTGGTTCCATTTAATTTAAAGTACAGATGGGCTCTGCTGCACTGGGGGCACAGAATAACTGAGGGTATTAACATCTCCTGCTTGCTCACCACAGACTTACCAAGGCAACTTTACACAAGATACCATTTATGCTACATCTCTGAAATGGAGATAGGGCTTTTCTGCCTCATAGGCAAGACTGAAATTAATCTCTATAAACGGTCTGAAGTCAGAAGTTTTATATTAAATATTAAAATTAATATAAAGACTTTTAAACAGGTAAAATGTAAAAGAAAACCCCTTCCACTAACAAATTCTGAGCTATTAACTAAACCATATATAAAATCCCTCCAGAAAAAAGTATTAATCCATTTAATTACTTCCTTAACTTGTGAAGTTTACTTATTATTTCCTGCCCTCCAGAGTATACATGCAATTTTATACCTCTTTTCAGAACAGTAAACAACTCAAAAAGTTTCCATGATTGAACAAGCAGCAGTCAAACATGACAGAGGGGCTTGTTTGTGCCTAGGAGCATGGGAGGCAGAAAGAAAAGAAACAATTAAGACACACCAGGTTAGTGAGGAAGGCACTTATTAAAGGAAAAAAAAAGAGCACTTGAAATAATTTATTTCCTCTTCCTCTAGTTCTCACAGGCAGGCAAGGGAGAAGAGAGATTTTCTTGGAAGATGGAATGAGGTCAAAGAGTTAACTCATATGTGCACTCAGCAAGACCTTTCCAAAAATAATGAGAAGTATGAAAGATTTTTTCATGGAGAAAAAAGGATTTAAAATAATCATCCAGATGGTTATAAATTATATGAAACAGAAAATCTGGAATGTGACCAACCTGCAACAGTGTGATATAAGCCCTTAAATGCAGGAATACAAACCTGAAATAAATCACAGTGCATAAACAAGAGCATGTTGAACAAGGATTTCACATCTAAAAGCCAGAAAGACAAGTAAGGAAGTAAGGAAAACAAGTAGGAATGACCTAAAGCCCAAGCTTTAGCTTAAAATGCTTGTTAAATTCAAAGCACAGGAGTGGTAAAACAAGGTGAAGAAAAACAGTTTAATGCAGGATCAGGAAACACTGTAGGTTTGGAGGGCAGGGCATTAGTTCCTCCACACTTGTATTCACACACAGGTACCTGTGTAATCAGCAGTTCTGATGATACTGATATACTGAAATACTGAAGAAATCCACTGCACAGTCAATTACTTCATTATTGAAGTGTGCCAGACAAATGCAAAAATGTAATATGAAAGTAACTGCAAATACATGCTGATTTGGGAAAACAGAGCTCCCTGGCTTTCCAAAGGAGGCAAAAGCAGGTGTCACAGAGGTAGATTGCTGACATCAATGGAGATCTTGGTCAGACTTAAATTTTACTGAGAATTTCAATGCTGTTATAACTGATTTCTACATCACAGATTTTTTTTATAGAGAGGAAAAAGTTGTGTAGCACAAGAATAAGAAGCAACTAATTCACATTATGTTTAGATAACAAATTTTCTGGTGAGAGAATTGAGTGTTTTTTTTCCTATAGTTTCACTATGCCTACTGTAGAGCCCAGGAGACAAAAAGTATAAAATGCAATAGTTAGTAAGACCAGCCTTCACATCCCAATATAAGTGCTCTTACACAAAAAATAAATAATTTACAGTTACTTTGTGGACAAGCCCTTATTCATATTTCATAGACAACACAAAACTAACATACATATACAGTACAGAAAACTCAAACCCAAAATTTTGTAAGTAAGAACACTTGCAGGTTTGTAAGGTTTTCTAACTTGCATGCACTATGAAGCTTATTAAAAAAACCCCACAACCCCATAAACACCAATTCACTGAAATGAAGGTTTTCTTAACGAAGGCGTGAAACTGCACAGACCATGATGTGTGGCAAATTATGAACTACTCTCACTTGTGTGTGCATTTTCTTTAACACATTTACATATTGTTGATTGGCAAGTACTAGACTCACACCTATGAAAATAAAGAGCTGACTCTTAAATCTATGATATTAACAGTAAACCTACAATATCAATTTGTATATAAAAATAATTTTAAAGTACACCGGTAAAACAAAACCTACACTTCTACAGTTAAGAAAATTATTAAAAAAATAAATCAAAACTTCCCCTATCGATAGCTCATTAACTCAGTCCTGTATAAAATAGACAATAAATTAAAAGGTGAATTATTGTGATGACTATTCTCTCCAAAGACAGACAATAGAGAAAAAAATGGATTATATAAACAGTTCAGAAATGTACATACTACATTTGAATTCTAGTCAGAAACTTGGTGAATGACTTCTCATCTATTTAAATAAAATAGATGCCAAATGAATTATATTTACTATGACTTTCTGCATATATTGTAGCTTTCACATAACTTGTTTTCCTGAAGGTTAATAAAGTTTAGCAACAGGCAGAATTTACAGATGGCAGAACTAGGACTGTAAAATTATCAAGCTCGCTGGAAAACCAACTTTGTTTAGTGAAAAGAATGCCAGGGAATGTAAGAGTTGATAAATATTACAGGGAAAGAAGTGTATCAATCCCCTTGACTTGGTCAAATGCACTCTTACACCAAATTTGAAATTGGAATGCTTTATCATACCTTACCATAAAAGTTTGGCTGCAACATGAAAATGCACAGCCATGGCAGGCCATCTGTCTCTTTCAAAGTGTATCTGTTCATTAAATTCTCACCTATCTCATCCAGGACACAATCGATCATGCAGCAGCTGGGAATTTAAAAGCCAAAGCTGTCCCATGCAATAAATTCTCCCCACTTGGCAACAGTGGGTTTGCATGTGTTGAGAGGCTTTGCTGACACCCCAGAGAAGTGCTAGGAACAGTGCAGTTATGTCAGCACAGCTCTCTTCTTGTTCATCCCATCATGCTCAGAGGGCTGGTATCCCGTGCTCTATTCCATAACATACTCAGTATGACAGACGCGAGCTACCAAATTAATAAGACAAATTTAAGGCACATTTTGTGTCTGTGCTTTGATTACACGCTCCTTAAAACAGCAATTCTTCCTAAGTATCTGAAAAATATTTTGTACATCTTGAATACTTTCAAATACTATTTTTGACAGAAGGCCATCCTGTGAGATATTTAAGTTCTTTATATGTTCTTTCTGACAAAATATTTCTATTATCCAATTAATTTTTGTCTAAGTTGAAAGAACACACACCAACATTTATCTAAGGGACACAACAACAAAAAACCATGACCACGTAAGAACAATGATTAGTAAGGTGATTAGTATTTTTAAAGTGCTGTTGTTAAATATATAAAATGAAAGAGATGAAAAGTGATTCCAAAGCACGTTGATTATGAAAGAAAGAGAGATAAATGGACTTAGTCTTCCTAAATTCATGATGAAAAAGACAGATTGGTAGCACATTGTCTCCTCCTGTCACTGAAGAAAAAAAACTGTAATCTGCAGCCTAATCCTCTTAACTTCATCAGAAGACCACACAGACTGACACAGTACATATTTCAATCACATTAGCTGATGCTGTTATCATTTACTCCAATATTGAAACTGAAGAATTTTGATTTGATGATATGAATTTAAGGAGAACTTCCATGTCCCTTTATACTGCTATGATAGAGAGGGCCACAGGCCACTAAAAATTCTGTATTTCACCACAGATGAAGCAAGTAACAGTTTCTTACACCACAGTTTCAATCTCACCCCATTCAGGCCTAAAAGCCCACTTCCTGTTAGCAAGAGTGTTGACTAAAAAAACCGAAATCTGTTTTGTTGCTTGCAAGCAATACTCAAAAAGAGTAACACTAGGATTTCCATAAAAATTTCAACTATTACAATAAATATCAAGTTCTGTGATGATCTAAACAATAACTTAAAAAAACCCCAACATTTTTATTTAAAATGTAAAAGAGAGACGACATACTGTATTCCAAACCTTTCACCTTTAAATTCACAATTTGGTCAACCAGTTGGTGATTAATACAGTATTACATTTAAATTACCCCACCTAGACAATTAACAAAGAACCACTAATCTCAGATCAGCCACATGGCTAATATTATTAAAATGCCCAAACTAGTCTTCTACTGTGTCCCACTTGAGTGCAGCTTCTCAGCAGTTTGCCAGGAGCTGCTGTCCTTCATTGCCGATAAAACCGTGTGACAATGGCCTACAACAACCATTTGTGATGAATTCAAGTGCTCTGAAGAAAGGGCTCACAAAAATGTGCATTTATAGCAATCTGCAAGCAGACAATATGCCTTCAGCTCCTTTGGTTTTAATAACATTCCCTTTGGAAAGTGAATCAGTTGAAGACTGTTCCAATAAAATAGTAAGTCAAAGTCTAGACAAGGCATGAACCACTGTCTATACAGTTTGTGACAACGTCCTTGATTTTCTTTCTTCCACACGTTTTTTCCAAAGACCAAGCAGTGAAGGCAGTTTGATTTTGTCCATATTCTTACTGTAAACATTAAGAAATATACCAAGGACAACCAGTAAGCCTGACCACACGTACCTAGAAGGGAGGCAGAGGAAGGGAAAAAAGTTACCATTAGCACTTTATCTTTAGCAATTACATACCAATATTTGTGGATTAAACAATCCTTATATTAGGAAGAAAATAGTTGAAGAAAAATGCCCAAAAAATCAGCGGGCCTTGAGGCAGAATTTCCCCAAATCTTTATTATTACTATTCTTCCAACTTTCTTTTTTCCTGTCCTGGCTGGAGAGTTTATTTAAGTGCATTTATAAATTAAATAATAACTAAAGAGTAGCTGTTCTTTCTCACATTAATAAAATTATCCTTAGGGGTTTTAGTATGTTTTTCCTTTCTATATGAGAACTTCCTATGAGAACTATATACAGTCTGTTACTGTTCCAAAATGTTTTCTCACTCAGTGTCTTATATCCACACTTCCCAATGCAGGCACATTTTTGTTTCAGCTCTCCATTCTTTTAAGCCTCAATATTTTTAGCTAGGGTAAATTCCGTTTGGGATTTGTGTGCAAGCTTTTTTCTTAAATCAATTTGTATATAAAAATAAAATAGAATTTTATGTTGTTTCAAACCTGAAGCAATTAAAACCAAAGTAGCAACTTAGCTATATTTTTCAATGTAAGCTCTTTCTTAAAATTTTAAAAAAGGGAATAAACTCAAGCTCAAACATTTGGCAATTTAAATACAATTATTTAAAAGGAATAACTAAGAATTCAAATCTGAGCTTATAAAAGCAGGAACAATACCATAATGGAAAAAATCCCTTCCTTTAGCAAAATTTTCCACCACAGAGAAAGTAGCCAAACAATTTATTATGTATCATAAGCACTAGATATTATGTAAGGTTTTTCTTAAGTTTTCTTTGTTGTCTTCCAAATCTTTAGAAAAATGTAAAATCTTTTCTCTAGCATGATTAGCATCAACAAGCCAGTCAATATTTACAGTAGATTGCCAACATTTGTAGAAGATATGAAAAGACAAGCATTAAACTCTGAATATGATTAATTAGTGTCGTATTTCCATGATGAACATAATTTTTTATCAAATACTCTGTAACCACTAAAAACTATAAATACTTACTGTAACGTGAATGGCTTTGCAAAGAACAAAAAAGAAAGCACAATGGTCATTGCTTTTCTTCCTGTTGTTACTGCAGAGGAAAAAAAGGATTAACCTCTTTAAGAATTCAGTTACAAGAAAACAACATAACAAAGGCTTAGCAGGTAACCTCATAAAATAAGGTCTCACAAAAATGATGATCACAAATGATTGGTCCAAACACAGACTGCAGGTGGACCAGTGCAGCACTGGAACCATGTGATTTTTGAAAACAAGTACACTGTGTCACTAGTACTGTCTGCAGTCACACTACCTGCAGCAAGGAAATTACCAGAACAAGACTTGCTATTTAATAACTTTGTGCTAATCGATCCACAGTCCCTGAGAGAAACATGCAAATAACTGATGACGTAAACTCAGCTGTTAAAGCTTGGATGTACACCAAGGACCAAAGGTCAAATATCTTGCCATTTCCACCTCGTGTTATTACAACTCCAAGGTGTTTTGGGCTCTATTTTTGAGTGGAAAGGGATTATCCTCTCATCATTCTTTTGAAGTTACTAAAAATTTCCCTAACAGTGCAGGGAATTACAATTTTGCTTAGACGCCTAAGAAACCAAGGATGTCAGATTTCAATGACTGCATTAGGAGGTTTTCCTCAAAACCACTGAGGGACATTTTTCTGCATGTGATCTGTTCACTAAAAATAATCAAGGCAGTATGAAGAGTGGAAAACACAATCCTGTTTCCAAGACAGAGATAAGCATTCTTTGGTTGTTGTGAAATTAACTATAGCTCCAACAATTATTTGAACAGTTTCAATGCTATCTGCAATGAACAAGGATAAAGCATTACTAGCAAATTGTATGCCAGGAAACCTATGTAGCTTATCACTGAAACAAAATCAATAAACGAGTGAAAGTTGTAGAAAATGTTTAAAAACAAAGTAAGAATGCAGTCAGGCACACAAGTTTAGCTATAGAGGCTAAGGGCCTGAGAAGAGGTTATTCTATATGATGGCATAGGGTTCTCACTTGAAAAAGACTCAGTACAGAGTGCAGTAGGTCTGCACATTAAAAATATATTTTTTTTATTATCAGAAAATATTTTGCTTACCATGAAGTTCCTTTTACTATACCATACTGGAAGATCATATTTGTGTGACTACATCCAAATTAGTCTTACTGCAACACACTGGCAAAAGGAACCAATGACTACTGATGTACATTCACAGTGCTTTGGCTAGAGAAGCAAGTTTCATTCTTCCCAACTCTACCCCACAAACAAATATTCACTTAAGACTGTTTTATAGTAGAAAAAACAGTTTTCACTACTGCTTCATCTGCCCCAACTTCAACTTTTTAGTAGTAATTTTCTTTTTACATTTTAAAAAACTTATGCACATCAAATAAAATTATTTTCTATTACATGAAAAATTAAAGGAGAATGAAAAAGAAAATTGAGTTTTAATTAGAAAACAGTTTACAAATGAATAATTTAAAAAATGGTTAAATTACTTCAGTTTTTCTAATTACAATTATTTCTGTTCTTTCAAATCAGTTATTAATTAAAATATTTATGTAACCATTTCCTTCTAAATTAAGTGCCTTTTCTTCTTTTTCCCAATTAAGTCTGATAATTTCTCATTCTGCTAATAGAAATACAATTTTCATTAAACTCTTTCACCCCACTCCCCTCAAGAAGGGGGAGGGTGGATGGGGGAGCTGGGAGGGACAGTAATGAATGCGGTGTTCTTCCAAGGCACAATAAACATTTTCATATTGCTACAGGCAAGACAGAAAGGGCTCAAGTATTAGAATTGTCAAGGTCAGCCATAAGAAAACCTGGGAAAGGTTTACTATTCTACAGCATTTTAAAACTTTTTTCAGTACAGTAAGACTTTTTTTATAAAGAGGTATTTTAATACATGAAGCAACCCTCTCCTCTGGGTCAATTTCCAGTCAGGAGAGCTACTCAACTTGGTTAAAAGCAAATACGAAAGAGATATGCTGCAGAGGAAATAACTGATAGGAAATCAGAGCATGCAACCCTCAGGTCAGAGAACAATTATGTATTTTCCCTTCCACTACTGTGAGTGAAGTAGAGCATCACCTGATAGAAACCAGGGTGTCTTTTCGGGGAAGAAGAAAGGCAAGTAGCTACATGACATCTTGCTACACCTTCTCCCACACCAGGCCCTTGTGACTAATGTAGTTTCATGTGCTTAGGAACAATGTCACTGCCTACTAGAATATCCTTACTTTTCCTTTTATGTTTTAAATGATACAACATCTTTTCCCTTCTGCATTTTCCTATGAAGGCAGGCTGAGAGACTTGGGATTGTTCAACCTGAAGAAGAGGAGAAGGCTCTGGGGAGATCCTATAGCACCTCACAGTACCTAAAGTGGGCCTGCATGAGAGCTGGAGAGGGACTCTTTGCACGTAGTAACAAGACGGAATGGCTTTAAACTGAAAGAAGGTTATTTTAGATTAGATATTAGGAAGAAACTCTTTACTGTGAGAGTGGTGAGACACATTGTCCAGAGAAGCTGTGTCTGCTTTATCCCTGGAAGTGTTCAAGGCCAGGTTGGATGGGGTTTTGAGCAAACTAGTCTAGCAGAAAGTGTCCCTGCCCATAGCAGGGGAGTTGGAACTTTGGAGATGGTCTTTGAAGTTCCTTCCAACCCAAATGGTTCTGTGATTCAATTTCAACTCCTCCATTTAGAACAGTGTATGTTTCTGCACTAGAACATAACACGGACTATGCACAAGTTTACTTAACAGGCTCTTCACGGTTGAAACTGTGGCACAAAAAAAAAAAAAAAAAAAATCAGGAAGCTCTTAAACACATTCTACCATGTGAAGATCCATGCTACACAAATCAGTCAGCACAAAGAACAGAAAAAAAGCCAGGGTAAGAACAACTCTCAAAAGCTCTGTCCTAAACAACAGAATAGGATTACTTTGTTTTTATACAAAGGAAGTAAAAATACCATTTGTTCATACCTGTTACAGCGAGAAGGGCACCGAAGATTTTAATCAAAGCTAGAACAAAGGATATGCCAAAATACCCAGTCAGGGAGAAAAGGAATGCATAACCATAAGTCTGAACTGGATGCTGCAACAATAAAAAAGCCGGTTAGGAAAATGTAAAACAAACCCTGAGGTATTGCAAAATGACATAAAACTACAGACTTTAATCAACTGCTTGAACAATAATAAGCTGTTCAACAATGCATTCATGCAAAAATCCTTATTTAATTTTAGTTAAATAATGGAAAAATAATAATGAAATTATAAGCTCCTAAGTCTGGTCCTGTGATTTTGCTGCTTTTTAAAACATTACCCTGTCTTATACATCAAAGACTGGAAACTTGCTTAGTGTATGAATTATACAAGTTAACTTGTTTACATGATGAAAACAGAATTTTAGAGAGAGAATTGATAAGATTTTCTAAATCATACAGAGCAAGGTTTTCCAATGAGGTTCTTCATAGAAAAAGGGAAATTTTTACACTTACCTTTGAGCAAAATGTTACTGCAGGGCTTAATCCACTAGTGCATGTTAATCCAAATAAAATATACACAAAACCAATTGAATAGGAATATAAAACCTATAATAGTGTAAGAGAAAATAATTACTAGGTGATACTATACAAAAAAGACAAAATTAAATGCTTTCAGATGCTTGGCCGTATTAATATAGTCAGCTTCTTGGAGCTGAATTTGCAGGGTTTGATGACATTTTTACTAGGATTTATATAATAGTTGATGTACAGTGAAAAGCCAACATTAAATGTTAGACACATTTTCCTGCCCACAACAACACAGAAGAAGTTTGGAAAGCTAGTCAGTTAATAATATCTTGAGGTCAGCGTCAACTGCGGTAAATCCTTCAAGTTCAGGATTTCACAGCCTAAACAAAATTTCCCACAACTATGCAATTTAATAGTCTGAAGAACACATTACACATATTTCATTTTCTGCTACTTATCCAGAGCAGCAAAGATTTGCTTTACATTAAATATGCAAAGGGTAGCACAGAATCACCAGAAATGTCACGTAAGTTTCATCAGTTCACATGCACGGCACACATGCACAATGGTTATGGCATACAGGATTTTCAAATATAACCAGCTCAGTGGTCAGAACACTCAGGAAACAGGGAAGCTTTTTATTTTGTCTGCACCCTTACTGAATTCATAGCTGCACTGAACAACAAAACCATCTTCATCCATCCTTTCCAACATGAGCCAACAGAAGTAGAAGCTGGAACTGTCCGTCCCTCCATCCTTCCATCCTCCCATGCAGCAGAAGGCATTCAGCTGTTTGGGCAACATTTAGTAGCCTTTTCTTGCCAACAGAACTATTCTTCACGATACTGGCTAGAACATGCTGATCTACTATGATTTCAAAATGCAGTGTCTTGTTATATATCTCAGTTATTTTGGAAAATCTATTAAAAATTGTTAGCAATTCCATGAGACAACAGACCACTTATCATTGCTCCATAATAAAGAAGGATGTATATGTGTTTAAAGAGCAGACCTGCTTTCAAACACTCAAAACCAATGACCAGACTCTCAGAGCTTTTACTTTATTTATACGCACAGAAGTCAGTCCCTAGTGCTTCACTTGCCTCTGCATCCAACTTGTCTCCCTAAGTACTCAAAGGCGTCAGATTTCACAGCCAGGAATAAGCACCAGATTCCTATTTCCTTGTTAGGCAGTGTAAGATACATCACTTCCACAGAACAACACATAAGGCAAAAATCAGGTATAATCTTCCAGAACAGCAATTACCATTTCCTTTTCTCTTTTCACAATTGCTTATATCCAGGGCACTTTCCAAATTTGACAGAGTAAGAGAGACCACATGGATGACAGGTTCCTTTTTTGATCAATTTTTTTCCAGATCACTGTCCATTAAACATGATCTCCAATTCAGATTAAATTTTTACCCACAGTCTCAAGTATAGAAAATTATTTCCAAAATTCTGCTTGTACTTCTGCACTGAATTCTCTGAACAAAATCCTGAAGTGGAAAGTCTAAACTACAAACAAAACCTTTATATCCCAAACCATTACACTCATCCTCTACAAGTAGCATGAGTATACAGTATGAGGATCAACATTTGTCAAGACTAATGCAGAATAAAAAGCAAAGTCCTGGAGACAGCAGGAATTTCGTAGGTAAGGCAGCAACGACAGTCAAATGCAAAGTGGAAAAAAAAAAAAAAAGTGACAGATTGCACTTTGGTTTCAGATTTTGGAAATGACAGCTAAAGAAGGCTGCACCAGGTCACATGGCGAAATCTCTGCCCCCAGCAGCAGTCAACAGTGAACACTAAGAAAAAGTGCAAGAATAAAAACAAGAAAACAGTGACACTTTTTGGTATATATTCTTCCACTTTCCGGAAGCTTGTAGCTCGAACTCCTCAAGCCATCCTAAATCACTTCCAGCTTTAAATGAAGATTCTTTCTAACTTTTTCTCCATTTATGATGCTATTCTCATGAGAAATTTGATTTTTCTAGTTAAATAACAAATACATGCCAAATATAGAAAATAAATTTCAGTACCTTTTTACCCGTGGCATACTCACATCATGCCTTTTATAGTAAAAAGGTTTACTTATATTTACTCAACTTCAGAGAAAAATACATCAAATTCAAACAAGTTTTCTAAAAAGAAAAATAACCTCAGACCATATGAACAGATAATATGCATTCCAAGTAAGTATATTAAAAACACTGAGCAAGACATTTTCAAAATTGTATTTCACTGAATCAGGAACAAAAATATTCACCCTGAGTTTTACAGATTTCAAAAGACTTAAAAAAAGCTGCCTCCCAAGTGCTAGTACACTCTGGAATATGAAGTATAGCAAGTAAGGAAAGCAACATGTTCCATGTAACACATGCTCAACTATACCAGAAGAACAGTGTGCATTTTTCAGAGATTAAGTGCATGATCATACAAAAAACACTACATTGATCTCAGGCCTGCAGGGTAGACAAAGGAATTGTTGATAGAAATAAGTGCTTCTGTAGCTGCAATATACATTTGAAGTTGCACACAGAAGGCAGCACCCTTGAAAGGTTAAAAAATGCAACAGAAAAATCAGCAGAAGTTCTCAGACAAACAGAAAACCCTAAGAACAGTACACCAAGAGCTTTTCCTTCCGTAAGCAAGTGAAAAGTACATTAAGTCCCATGCTTTGTCAATGTATACCTTGCCTATGATTAGACATGTTCTTTTAGAATTGCAAATGTGGTATTTACCATTTCTGAATTAGAACCATTGTGCAACTTCATAGCTTTTTCCTGTACATTTCCTATAACTGCATCTGCGCAGAGGGCAAGGGATATTAGGATCACACCTATTAAAACAAACAAACAAAAACCTCTTCAGAATATTCACCAGCAAAATGGTGGCAAAAAGTCCAAGGAATAGAAAAATAATAACCACCCCTCCCCTATAACATATTCTAAATGTCAGCAAAAATATTTCATGACACCAGTACAAAGCAGTGCCTACTTCCACTCTCTCCACCAGTTAGCCCCTGTGTGTCTCTAAGCTTGTTGGGAACATCTGAACATTGCTATGAAGAAACTAGCTGCAGTTTTCGTAGTAACAAGAGTGACAGAGTATCAGTTGCAGTTAGTTAATGAAGTTAAATAACCAGAGTAAATAATCTTTTTGAGTAGTTAATCCCACATTATTTTTTCCTTATAAAGGCAAATAGAAATGCAAAACATTTGTAAATATTTTGCAAAAACAAAATGTAAAACAAATGCAAGTGTATTGACAGTAAAAATCTCTCATTACTGAAACATTAATTAAAAAAAAACCCCTACTGTTCAGGTACAAACCCCATGGTTTTAGGTTACCATTTAAGCTCACAATGAAGCCACTAGTCACTACTGTAATCATCTCTCTGATAACAAAACAGTGATGACTAGTCATGTCAGTCACAGCTCATTTCTCAACCTACAAATTTTCATGACTGTTGTCATGATCACACATTGAAATATTTTTCCTAAGTATACAACATTACAGAAGACACTAATCATCAAAATGCAAATCAAAACCTGCTCTAGTCTTGGTTCCTTAAAAGATCACAGAAGAAAACTAGAAGACTAGAAACAAGCAGTGTTTCATTTTCTTAATCCTATGTTCTTACAATGGAAGGTAGAAGATTTAACACTTTTAAGATTTAACACTTTTAAGGCCCATGAAGTTTAAGGTGGTGTTTTCTAGGCAAGAACTTCTAAACCAGTGTTTTCAGTTTGGGAACCATTTCCTTTCCATGGCTAGACCTTCCAGGTCTCTTCATCATTCAAAATTATCAGGCACTGGAAAAGGTATAACTCAATGGAAAAGACGTGATAACATGAAAAATATTGGTAACGCAAAAATATAGATGTCTCATCTGCATGGATTCAGCTCTAGTCCAAATAATAACAGCTCCAGCTCAGCAATTTCACTTTGTAAAGTGATGGATGAATGTCTCTATGGGCATTCTCCATCATAATTCATGTTCCAGCTGTGCTTAATGGCCCAGGCACGCCACTGGACAAATGCATGGTTCAGCACTGGACTGAGATGAAAAGGTTACCTGGAACCTGAAGCACCAGTGCATATGGAGAGGAGAAAGGTGGAGACAAGAAAAATGTTAATCTTACACTCATTACACAGTTTGGAGTGTGAGGAGAATTGTTCCACTCATTGTGGCAGTGCTGAGCAGGAGCAGCAGCAAAGCCATGGATGAGACCAGCAATGTTGCATTGTATGTAAAGCATGAGTAAGAACAATTGAAAAAACTGTCCCAAATTAGTTCTGAAAGAAATTTGCATGGAAGCAGTTCTACACAAATCATTGGAATGAACTCAGGAACTCAATTATCCTTTGTCATTTGAGAATGAAATTCAACTAAGATTTTAAATCCAAGCAGATTAAAATCCTTGCTTTGCTTCTGATTTTAGATAGTACTAAAAGTTTAAGATGTGAGAGCGCCTAAAAACTACAGCAATTCTGCCTGAGATGATCAGTTAATATAAAGTATATAGTTCAGAAATGGAAAAATACTTAAAATTTTGACTAGAAAAGACATCTTTTTAAGTTTTAAAATGTTCCAACTGAATTTTATCATAATTATTTTAATATATATATAATGGGTTAAGTCTTTCTTGAGAATACATGAGACATTTCAACCAAAAGGGTGCAGTTTCCAGAAATTTTAGGAACCTAAGAACTTACTCTTTGAAAAAAGGTCTCTTCTGCCACAGAGAGCGTTCTGCTAGTACAAAGCTACAATAAAACTCGTGTTTTCAGTAGAATACCTGAAGGCACTCCAACAAGAGCCCAGAACTTCTATGGAATGCTTACTGTAGGAAAAACCAAGCATTTTCTTAAACTCTAAAGTGTAATGGGTCTTTACCTGTCAAGTTGAAGTTTGGTGCAACTGTGCTGTCAGCTAAAGTAAACCATATTAACCCAAGGCTCATACATAGGGCAGCAGACACGTCTACAATATTATAACGCTTTCCTACAAAATGCAAACAGCAGGAATGGACTGTTAGCACCCTCAGAATTTCATATTTAACCTGTTCAACAGACTAGAAGACAAAAGAAACATTGTTAAGTCATTCTTTTACTTAAACAGAAGACTCAATGCTCTGGTCTTTCACAACCGGACTCAGTTTCTTCTACAACAGAAATTCCTACCACAGGGGAGGACCCTAATGGGAAATATCTGATTCTTGTGATCAGCTTTGGTTTGAGTCCACAGTTACTGCACTGCCACAAGCACATCCTCCCTGACAAAGCATTCTCTTAGCAACTTCAGGAGAGCTTAGATGTCTCTTGATACCTTTCCCTCATACAAGACATTTCGGCTGCCTTTACTGATCTGAAAGAAGTCAACTCCAAACACTAACAGACAACTCTGGCATTCTGAGAACACGACACTGTCTTATAGTTTGGGAGGGAGAGGTTGTAGAGGGGAATAGAAAAAGAAAGTAAGGACATGAAAAAGCAGGAGTTAGTATATCTTGTTTGAAATAACGTATTGTTTGCTCAGAAACAACATAAGATTCCAAGCTTTAAACATAAGCTTCCAAGGGAACTTTGTTGAACTGAATTTTTTAACAATAATATAAAAAAAAAAGCTCCTGAGACTACACTACTACAACACAATAAAAAGTTTCACAAAGCTTTAGGGAAATGCCAGTCACTTTGCATTAGAATGATAAAAAATTACTCCTAATAAAAGGCAAATACTGTGCAGACATGTACATATGTGAGGTTGAAATCTCCTCTGAAAATTCAGCTGCTTTTCAACCAGAAGGCCAGAATTACCTATACAAATACAGAAATACAGAATCCTAGATTTTCTTCCATAATACTGGTCCATGTGGTGCTTTACTGACTAAATTTTTGTGCATTGAACACAAATTTTTATAATATACTTAAGTCTTCTAAATCCACAAACACTCAAGTATATTTATTCACATAACTATAACCTTTATCTCGTTTTCTCCATATTGCATTTTCTTTTCTTGGAATATGCACTATGACTTTAGGACTAGCCAAAGACATGCAAAAATCAGGTGCATTTCTGATTAAATATTCAATCAAAATTTAGGAATTAATCTTTTCAAACAAGAGTAAGGATTTTCTTCACAACTCATGGTTGGCTTTTTTTTCAAGTTTTCCATTTCAATAATGAAATTGTTTCATTTATGTTTATGTTTTCATTTATTTAGTTTATAAAACAAACTCTTCTTAAAAATTAAGAAAGCTTGTGTAAAAATGAAGTTTTGCAAGTGACCTGCAGAATGTTTTTCCCTCTATTTTCTGTTGATCTAATTATATTTGTACATTCTCTCGGAAAATGCTTCAGAAATTCTCATTTCTCCTCCTATAGGAAAAATTCTACCAGTGGAATTAAAAAAAGTACAGGATTCCATCTATGACTGCCTCCCAAAGAAGCAGTTAAAAAAAAATATATCATAGCAAGACTAACACTTACCTTGTATAAAAACCCCACCTATCATAACTGGAATCAGCTTACAGCACTTGAAGATGACTTGAGTTGGGTAATTCAGATATCCTAAAGAGGTATTTGACAAACCCATAGTTCCCACTGTCAAAAACGCTATTATCATGTAGGTTTTGCCAGGAATTCTACAAAACATAAACATATAAATCTTAGCATTACAAACTCATCTAGAGGAGATTTAGCTTGGAAAATTCAGGTAAAGAAATACTATTGTAATACAGCCTCAACATCTTTCTCACTGAATTTCACTTCATAGAAATTTAAAAATGCACATAAATTTCATATTTAATTTCTTTCAATTGCTGAGGAAAAATAAAAGCACAAATACAAGACAATAAAATCTTTATGGCTCATGAAGTATTCCAGCAGTAATTCTTTAACCTCCTTCTGAAAAGGTGTGTTATTTACACAAGAATCAAGACAAAGGTTTCAGGTTATGTGTCAAAGGAAACATGGAAAGTTGGTATACCAAGATAAACTGGATCTTAGTTCTGCCACAGGTCACTGTGACAGATTCTTTGGTGAACCCTGACATTTTTAAAATGAAGAAAGTTGAAAAAAGTACCATTGTTGTATTAAACTCAATGAAACTAAGAGAGCAGTGATTCAGTTACCATGAACAGAGGGGCTCCTTGAACATTTTCAGATGTTTTATTCACAATTTCATGAACTTATCACCTGACAACAGATGATCCAACAGTTACTTTTGTGCTCACTTTGTGATTTTTTTACAGTTATTGCTGTGCATATGTTCAGCTATTTTTCATGCGTACTCAGAACCATGCTAAAACACAAGGAGCCGTCTTGCTGCAATCCTGTCTTATCTCTAACTCATTATGTGATGTACACATACTGTGAGGCATGCAAGAAAAATTCAAATTTAAGAAATGGAAATTTCTGCTTGTCTACAAGAAGATACTTAGGTTATAGAAAATAAAATATAAAACGTATTTCAGATCTACATTTCCAACACAACCTACTTGAAGGGTCATGCTCTGTAAGCATTACCAACTGGTAATAATACCCCATAAATACTAGTAACCCAAAAGGCAACTGTGCAATATTATCTGATGCATCTCAAAAAGTCAGATAACTTGAAAAATAAGCTGCCAGTGTTTAAAATAAAAAGAATAATTTATCAACAACAAAGTTGTGTTGTTTGGCTAAAAAAAGAATTTTATAATCTAAAACCAGTACATGCAAAATCATCCAAGGCTGACTGCAGGTAAGGAAAACTAGTTATGTTCAACTAGAATATAAGGCAGCTTTAAAATTAATGTACACCGTGACAGCCTATATTCAAGTTTCCACGGTGCCTCAATAAACACTTTGTAGAGGCTATAGATGGGTAGGAGGCTGCAGAATGGCTACATAGAGGCAAAAAATAACCATTTCCATGGGATTCAAGACATCAAAAATCTCCTTGTTCCTGCAGTGAAAACACAGAACAGTTCTGTGGCAGAGTATTATGAATGCTGTCTTAAATGAAAACTACAACACTTCAGCACATCCTTTGAAGCAAACCCACTCAGCCACAGGGCAAGCAGAGAGCAGACCTCTGACACTCTCCAAGATGCACAGCATGTTAGAGGAACCTCTTGGTGAGGAGGTGCCAATATTTGAGGAAAACATATTCACTGACAATGGCTTCAAGTGCTGGGAAGTGCACTGACTCTATTCTAGATGTGATAATCCCAAGCAACACATACACGAGTCAGTCTCTATCAGCCACCTTAAGGATACCATACATTCTCTAAGTGGGACAGTGACAGCAGAGTCAATAAAACGACTTATAGTCTGAAATCCAAGTGGGTGCTTCTAAAATATTCTCTAACATCATCCAGCAAATTCACTTTATTTTATCTACAGAACTGCTAGCAATGCCCCACAGTACTCACATTCAAAAAACAGAAGTTAAATTTACCAAAAGTATCAAATGCTTCTAATTTCATGGACAGTGGGTAAAATGCTTGGAAAAACACGTACCTTCTTCTTTTGTCCTGAATCAACTGCAATTCTATTAGTCCAAAAATGGAATAAAATCCAAATTGCACTAAAGTGAGGTACCAACCAAAAGGTTTAAAACCTTCCACTGAAAATATCAATTCCTACAAAAACAAAAATCCACCAAAGTCATGAACATACACCAAAATATTAAATGGACAAAAAAAAAAAAAAAATCAACAGACCTTTTTCCTTCATGTACATGCAAATCTAGGCTTTGCAGATACTGGTTATCAACTAGATTTATCTGCCAAATGTAACATGCAAAGTATAGAAAAAGAAAAGACAATTTTGGTTCTCCAAAACGAAAGAAGAAATTTTATTGTTGTTGTAAATATACTAAAACTAATGGATCAATTCATTAGGGGAATACATTTGATCCATTAGTAATTATCTCATATTACAGATGGCTTCCTGCCTGCTTTTTTGCTGCTTTTCAGTTCATTTACTTCAGCAGACCGTTTTTATTTAGATTTTATAAATATCTCAGGATAAATTTAATACACATGTTCTCTAACAAATATCCTTACTGATAATTTCCAGCTCTTAGGAATGTACACCTAATATTTTGAGTGCATAAATAGCACTTGTGAGTTCATAAATTTGCATGCTGTAGGAATATTTTAAACCAGAGCAATTCTTAATGGAAAAATACATTCACTGCATAAAGACTTACGTAGGTTTATCAATTCTAGAAACAAAAGGCTACCTAATATTTGCCTTTTTGAGATTCTGCTTTTAATTTTTAAACTGATCATGTTTTCTTAACTCTTTTGAAGTAACTTTTTGTTAACAAACTTCTCAGCTGCTTTTGAAAACTGCATTAGAAACATGATTTTTAATTATCAAGTTTTTCAATCACTGCTTTATTGAGAATACTCAATGAATTTAAAAATAATTTTAAAAAGGGAACAGAAATGTAGCTTCCCAAGATAAGAGAGAAAAGATCAGCAGATTGGTAAATGTTTAACTAAAATTGCATAAACATTATGCTTCTGTTTAACAAACTACCACAGTACATGTTTCAGCTCTGTCCTGAGAGCAGGGAGAAAAATAAGATGACAGTAACTGTACAGTACTCATGGAACTTAGGGAGATCTAAAGGTTTCAGCATCAATGAAGACTTTGGTGTATCTTGCACACAGAAGTAAAAGATCAAGTTATGAAAGTCCAAGTGATCGAAACTTTACAGGCACATGAACCACAATAGAAACTTAGATTATATATTACTTGCTCTTCTTGAATACTGAAAGGCTGACTTTGCAATAAATATCTGGTTTAAACATCTACACATATTAAAAAAAAATACACAGTATATTTTTATGCTATTGAAAAATAAAAGGGGTAGAAGGAATGGCCTAAGACACAAATTCATAATACTTACCTGTAAATATCCATAGATTAGATAAAACATAAAAACTCCAGAAACACAGATGAAAAATTGAGTAGGTTTGCTAAATTTGCTGAGATTTATGCCAAGAACTACAACATCATCTACTGATTTGATATGGGGAGACATAGCTTGAGATTTGGAAGGTACACTGATGGAAATGTATTTTCTCGATGAAGGGAATTTCAGATCCATGGTTCCTGGTTCGCTGCATTCGGGGTTATTGTTGCCTTCCACTCGCTTTTCTCCTGTGTGTCTTCTGTCTGAAAGCTGAAAAGAAATGCTAAAGTCACATGGGACATAACATACTCAACTCCAACAACAGTAAATGAATGTGACATTTACAGGGAAAATATAAAAGTTTCGGAATTTTGTTGAATTACTCTTATTCACAAATTTTACTTCTCTTTTCTGATGTCCAAAGTTAACTTCGGTTTTCTTTGTTTTCACTGATGTTAACACCAGAGGCCATCAACATTTTATGAAAGCAGTTTTGCTTTATTCCTATACATGACATAGCAAACAAGCCAATCAATCAATCCCAAAACATCAGCAACAGAAAACCTTGAGTGTCCTGAGCTTCTCAGCAGCTCTAACTGGTCCTGTCATGTGCTCATAGGAGTGACTGCTTGGGAAAGAAGTGATGTCCATGACCAACTCACAGTGACATAACTGGTATTGAAGCACTGTCTCTGCCGACTTTCCTTCATCTTCTGAGCAAAACATCAGACTAGTCCACAACATGGGAAGCCTTACTAAAAACTACAGTTACAAGCATGGAAGTGGAATAAGTTATCCCCTCATCCTCATGTTTATTCACTATTTCTTGCACAGTTTTTCAGAAAAGAACGTGGAGATTGAAACAAGCAGACTGAGATGCCAGTCTCAAAAATCAGATTGTTTATCTGATGAGGTCTATGATACGGCAATCCCTTTAATATTTATCACAGGCAGTTATTTCCACATGTAACAGAAAACAAAACTGGATGACTGAAGCCTAGAGAAGGAATGTAGCAGCTTAGTAGACTGAGATGCAAATAATGTTCTTCTCCAGCTCAGCAGACAGTAAATATTATATTTGATGGGTAATTTTAAAGATAAAATACACTGGTCAGCCAATTGTCCCAAGATTTTAAAGTGTAGGTCAGTATCAATTTCAGTGAGCAGTCAGTAATTAAACTGTGTTTGTCCCAACTGTTTAGTGATTTGTTTTTCTCAGCTGAAGAATTACTCTCCTCATCACACATTTATAAAAAATGCTTTCCCCAATGTTTTAAAATTGAAAATGTCCTAGTATATTAACACTAGATCATGCAATGAATGTAGTCCGCAAGAACACTGGTAAATACAATATATTATGCAATACTAGAAATTTTAAGGTTAGCTGAAAAATGAACTATTAGTACAAAGTTTGCAATGTGCTTATGTTTCCTTTTTTCATATGATCTGCTATCAGATTGGAACTAGACTCCTCCTACAGTTCTGAAAGAACATCTTGGGGAGTATAACAGAAATTTAGGGACCATCATAACTATTTGTGCTTAAATTCATAGCTCTTCAGCTGAAGATCAAAAGTGAGAGGTAGAAAGTTTGCCCCTGTGGACTTTAGCTAATCCCAACATGAAATGACCAAAAAACAAAAGAAAAAGAGTTTGAGACTATTTTTAGCAAAGCCAGAAAAGCACTAATGTCAGACAATGAGGCATGAGTGAGCCTTCCCATACAATATAATAGAGTTCTGATCACCCTCAGAGAAAGACTGAAAGAACAATGGCAAAAAAGGGTTATCAGGATTAACAAGTTGCCCATCTTCAGGAACTATATCTTAGGAACTAAAATAAGATGAAAGCATAACTTGTCTAGTCTAACAAAACCCCAATGAAAAGAAAATAGACCTGCCTTCAATACAATGGAATACCACTAAGGAGAAAAAATAGTTTTAATTTAAAGGACAGAAGAATGAGAGCAGTGGGTATGAAGTGATCACGAACAAACTTACCCTTTCCATCTCTAGACTATCTGTATTCTAGAACAGCCTAAAAATGAAAGAAGGGACAACTTAACTGTGTGCTTTTTTTTTTAAGATGAAGTTTATAAAAGCCATTGTGCACAGCTGTTGAGATAGGGCATGAAAAAGAGCAGTCCTTTATAATCCCATGTTTATAGCATCCCACCCCAGAGCTGCCTGCAGAAGATGCTTGGTGATCCCACCTGATCCAGCATAAGAACTACTAATCTCCCCAAAAGAACTGCATTCAAAGTCAGGACTTCCAAGTTCAAGCCCAAAGATCACATCCCCATGAGGGAAAATCAGTGTACTTCAGAACACATCCCTTCCTGGCAACTCAGCTGAACTTGGATTTTTTGTTGATGGCTGCTCAGACCTTTCCTGTCCACTTCCACTTGATAAGCGCCCAGCATTTGTTAATGCCACAGTTTCTCAGTGGAACAAGTGCTGCAGAAGCAACCTGAGACTCATTTTTCACCTAAGTGGAAACAGAGTATCACATATGCTCAGAAGAGGACATGGACTGTCACTGATGCCCCAAGAGCCCAAAAACTTAAAGAATTTTAGCCATTGTTGAGAGAGCTTGCACAGCTTCAAGGCCTTTTCTCTTTCTCTCTCTGCCCACTCCTGCAGTGAACAGCCTGGGGTGTGGGCTGGGAGGGGGCACAACCTGGCACATGACCTGAACTAACCAGAGATATTTCATAAAGTGTCATGGACAGCAACAAAAAGTGAGAGGAGGGGGTTCAGGGAGGTCAGACAGCTTTTGCTCAGGAACTGGCTGGACATTGATCTACCTGTGCGAGAAGTGATCATCTTTACATCACCTGTTTTGGTTTGCTTCTCTTTCCATTTTTTTCTCCACTTAAAAAATATTTATCTCAATCTATATTTATTTTTTTTTACTCTTCCTTTCCTCTCACCCCACCCTTCTGGGGGAGGGAAGAGAGGAAAGTGAGCAAGTGGCTGTCATTAAACCACACAATTAACATAATCTTCGATTTTCAACTATTTCTGTTAAAAATATTTCCTCAGGAACACTATCAGATTTTACAGTCTCTCCACTTAATTTTTTGCAGATCACCAAGTCTCTCATGAAACTCGTAAGAAACACTGATTGCTCCAGACATACCCATGACCATCGATATAAAACTATGATACGTGGTAATTGCTTTTCTCTACATCCTGCAAAGAAAATTATAACAGCTGAAGAAACTGTAAATGTATGCATGCATTTCAGTCTCCACCAAGTAATTTCATTAGCAACAGTGAGAGAATTCTTCTGAAATTCACTGTGACTTCTCGAACTGCTGTTTTTCTAAGTATGAAAACTGTTATTCCTACTCCTCCCATCAAAATCCCTCAAGCAACTAATTCACGTCTTGAACAAACATACAGCAAAAATCTGTTTTATTAACAGTTAAGAGCTGTCCTGATTTGTGTAAAATACCAATTTCCCTCTTTTCTTTCTCCTCCTGTGTGTAAAAGCGTAAACAACAGATTCTTTAGATCAAAGACTTCCTGTTTCTTCCCCTTTAAAAAAAAAGTCCCTTGCAGATCAGTACTTTAACCTAGCACACAAAATAGTGGTTATTTCATGAAGGAGAAACAAATGAACAAGTGAGTAGAAGAGCAAAATTTCTTTGGCCTCCAAAAAGTTAACTGGTACTAAGCATGGAAAAAACATCATGAAGGAGCTCGAGCCTTGGTTGGCCAAGGTTTTTAACACTGAAGAACATCTGTTAAACCCGTAATTTTGACAGAAACCAGCGTCTTTGTATGCTCAGAAAAACTGCTCGCCTGAGACACACAAGGCAAGCTCCACGTTGGCCTTGGCCACGATCCCCCGGAGACTATGCCAGAAACGCTTGGTGGCAGGACAGCAGCTGGCACCACAACAGGGATGCGCCAGGTGACAGGGACGCCAAAGCCCGGCTGCGGGAAACCCGAGCAGATACTCTGCTTGACGCTACCTGCGTCCTGCTCCAGAGGCAAAGGAGGGAAGGGGATGGGGTCCAGCAAGATCCCTGAAGCTTCCTTCCTGCCCGCTCGCCTGTCGGTTCCCGAGCGCCGGGCAGCTGTCCTGGGCAGGGCTGGCACAGGCTCTCCAGCCGCCACAGGCCGCCATTCCCCGCCCTTCCCCCGGGAAAGGGAACGCCTCGCTGCCCACGGGCCCCGCGGGACGCCGCCTCCTCGGGCCGGCCGAAACTCCCCCGGCACTCAGTGTCAGCCTCCTCCCGCTCCACATCCCGGCCCCGCCGCCCCTCACCGTCGCGCCCATGGCCCCCCGACGCCGGGCGACGCTTCGCAGGAAGCGACCCCGCCTCCTTCCCGCTCGCCCACCGTCCCTGAGGGAAGGAGGAGAGGAGTGGGGAGCGGCCCCGCCCCGTACCTGTCCGGCGGGCGAGGAGAGGCACGGCGGCTCCGGCCTGCGGCTCCCCGCCAGCGCGTCCCGCCCGCCCGCCGGGATCGCTGCCTGCTGCGGGCCCGCGCCGGCGGAAGTGCCGGCCGGGAGGCGCCAGGGGTCGGCGCGAGCAGCGAGCGCATCGACACCGGCACCGGCACAGCGCCGCTCGCTCGCTCGCTCGGCGTTCCGCTACCCGGCCTGAGGCGGGCGGGGCCGGCGCCCTCCAGCTCACGCCCGTTGTGGGCGGGGCCTCGGTGCCGGGAACGCCTGAGGGGCGGGGAGGGGCGGGGCCGGGGGCTCGCTCATTGCTCCCGGATCCCGCATCGCGCTCCCGGATCCTGGGTGCCCGAGGGCTGCGAAGCGGCTTCCCCACGTGTCTCTGGGGGAGATCACAGAATCACTAAATCGTTAGGGTTGGGAAGGACCTCTGGAGATCCAGTCCAACCCCTTTGACAAGGCAGGGTGACTTAGAGCAGGTGACACAGGAACACATCCAGGAGGGTTTGGAATGTCTCCAGAGAGAGAGAATACGCACCCTCCCTGGGGAGCCTGTTCCAGTGCTCTGCCACCCTCAGCGTAAAGAATTTCTTCCTCATGTTGAGGTGGAACTTCTTGTGCTTCACTTTATGGCCATTGCTCCTCGTCCTGTCGCCAGGCACTACTGAAAAGAGTCTGGCACCGTCCTCTCGGTGCCTGCCTTTGAGATAATTATACCCACTAGTGAGATCCCCTCTCAGTCTTCTCCAGACTAAACGTCCCCAGCTCCCTCAGTCTCTCCTCATAGGAGACACCAAATCATCATTGCGTCCCTCCATTGATTCCTCTCCAGGAGCTTGGTGTCTTTCCTGTGGTGAGTAGCCCAGAACTGGACACAGCACTCCAGATGTGACCTCACCAGGGCTGAGCAGAGGGGGAGGATCAATCGCCTCCATCCCCCAGCTGCAGGGACCTGGGGAAGGAGCCCAGGGTGACAGGAGCACGGGCAGGGCCTGAGGAGCAGCCTGGGCTCCCTGCAGCTGCCAGGAGGGTGACAGGGACAGTGTGGGGGTGTCACCTCGCCCCCCCGGCGTGCTTCGGTCAGGCGCTGCCGCCGGTCCGCAGCCATGGGGCTGCCCTAGTACTCTGGAAAAGCCTCTCGGAGCAGGCGATCGTATTTCACACCACGGTGACAGGAAGACTGGAGTCCTGAAGAAGTTTTTTTCCGAGCTTTGGTTGATGCTCTGCTGTTCTGATGTGAGGAATGAATCACCCAGCCAAAGCTGCAGCTCTCATTAAAAAATAAAAATAAAAAAAAAAGGACGAAAATGCGTCTGGAGAGAGGTATTCTTGTGATCATTCCACGTGGGGCTGCAGGAAGGAAATAATAAAAGTATGTAATAATGACAAGCGAAAAAGGTAAATGAGAGCAATAACAGCAGAATGCATAGAGCATAATGGCCAAAGGAATCAGGTAAAGAATTTAGAAGGAAGGTAGCTAAAGGCATTTTGGGCAAAATGTGCAAATTAGATGTAGCTTGAAAATACATAAAATCCAGTTATTATTCATATCAGTCTATAAAATGGCAGTGCTGTGTTTTCTGTAATTATGTGCAGAGGTATTTAACATTTTACATAATCACTACAAGACAATACATATATAGGAAATTTAGGAAATTCAAGCTTTTACGTTTACAGTGTTTTACAAGTTTTTTTTACCTTATCCAATGTTAGTGTAGTAAATCAGTCTGCATTATAGATACCAAGTGCTCCAACATTATAGATAAACAAGTGCTCCAACATTTAACATCACATTTTTTAAGGCAAACACCAAAAAGAAAGTGTGCACTACATGGTTACTTAAAAACAAATAAATAAACAAAAATTGGAACCCCCTAAAACCTTTTAGCAGATAGCTGTTTCTGAAATACAGGATTAATGATTATTGAGAAAAATACTTGCAGTCACCTTGGGAAGTTTCAGTGCTTGTTGGTTCAAGTTTCCTTTACCTGATTGAGGGATTTCACATTTAGCAAACAATTGTTCTTTTTTTGCAACAATATGGATGGTGATTTTTACCTTCTCAATGACAGAAATATCTACCCCAGTAACTCAAGTGAATATATTCAAGCTTGCACGTGATCAGCTGGTGTTTTCTAGTTCCCTGTAAATAAAGTCTTTAGATCAGCCAGGCTGTAATTAACTTTACTGTTGCAGATGTAAGTGGAGTGATTACACAAGAAGTTCCACCTGAACATGAGGAAGCAGTTCTTTTCTGTGTGCATGGCTGAGCACTGGAACAGATTTCCCAGAGAGGCTGTGGATTCCCTCTCACTGGAGATATTCAGGATTCTCCTGCACTGGAGATATTCAAAAGCCATCTGAACACAATCCTGAGTAATGTGCTCGAGGGGACCCTGCTTGAACAGAGTGGTTGGACTGCATGACCTCCAATGATCCCTTCTAACCTTATCTGTTCCGTGCTTCTGTGAGTGTGCCTTACTGATTCAGTGGAAGCAGGCAGATAGCAGGAAAAATCAAACTGCACCACTAAATTGGATTGTCTAAATAACCTGTAACTGGGTGGAAGGAACCTGGGTATGTGAGGCTCTTGATTAGTAAGAGTTGAGGAGAAACACACTGGCATGTGTTTCATCAGATGTGATCTGATATTCCCTAATATCTGAGACTTGTTGATATCCTATTGTATTCTTTTTTTAAATTCAGAAATGCAGAAATTAGGCTGCTTGATTTTGGGAGGTCTCCTGCCTGTTGTTAAAGAGCATATATTTTTCTGTTTGCAATGTGTTTTTCTATTTCTATTATCCATATTCCATCACTCAACTGGAGTGTGGCATGTATGCTGGAGAATGTTCTCTTTAAATAAAGCAGAAGAGTAAACGACGAGTAGAATGTTTATTATTGATCTCACAGATGCTTTTGCAGTCTGCAATATGAACACGTATGGATTACTGGTAAAGCTGGAAAGCAAATTACATTTTCTTTTATCGTTTGTAAAAATGAAGTTAGGGCTTATGAAAGGTACTGGATTCAGGCTCTGGGGACCTAACTTCTCTGTTTATCCAGGAAATAGATGTTGTACATCACAAGCAGAGGCAGTGAAAGTATTAAAGATCTCAAAGTTCTCACACTCCCTGTCTGTACTTCTCCTTCTTGACCTACTCAAGGTACCAATAGGAAAGCTTAGTCTGTGCACAAACTTAATCCTAATTTTTTTTCTTCTGGAAGGTACACAATAATGCTGTTGGCTGTAGTTTTATTAACAAGAGCTTTTGTTCACTACAGTCTAATTTAGAAATGCCAGCTCCATAACAGGCTTTGTTGCCTTTGTTGTCTAGCCTAGATTGTTTTCATGCCTGTTCAATATGAGCAGTTCTAGTTTTTTTGCGGTGTAGTACCCCTGTACCCACTTCCTATACACCAGGTTGGGAATTAATCAGAACAAAGGCGTTAGGCACTTATTTGTGAAGGGAACTCATATGGGTACACGTCTTTATAATAGGGGCACATCTTGCATTTTGTCAGTGGGCTTTGGACTGTAATATCTTCGTGGCATACTGTGTGTTGCTATCAAGAATTTAACGGAGTAAAAATTATTTCCTGTGTGTGGCAAAATTACCCAATATGTATATGTTTCCCTATGAAACGTGCATAGGTATACCATGAGTGACACAAGTATCCATGAACATTTTCACTGGGGTTATAAATAAAATGAAGCTAATCGAACAGAAAAATAGGGGAGGTTGCTATATTTCAGCATGAAAGGCAAATTAATACCACTTTCAGTGCTTGAACCCACCTCTCAGAGATGTGTGTTATTTGGATAAATACTGTTAGAATCTTCTATGTTGTCTAAATCAGAGCTAATCAGGATGCAGTTTGTGAGTCTTGATACAGCTAAAGCTGATGTAATTTGCTGGTTTATCAAATTTATCAAAAATGGTGAAGAATTATATGCAAAATGACAATTTTTTTTTCTGTAAGTTTTGTTTTAGGATTTACATTTGAGACAATCAAGTATTACTCAGAAGTAAGTATTTTAGTTAGATGAAAATGTGTTTTGACAGTTGTAACTGGTCATCTGCTGAGTTAGTGGGAGTTAGGTAAACCTAGAAGCTTGACAGAAAAAAGAGCAGCTGCTTACCTCTAGCATGGAGGAAGGGGGGAAAACAATAGTTCTCCTGTTGACAGATATAATGCTCTTTCTGATGGTTTTATACAAATTTTTCTGCCAGCTTTGTACAGGTTTTGATTGCTGTTATTCTGAGATGCAGTAGAAGGCAAACAAAATAAATAAGACACATACAGAAGAAAGATTTGATGGGCTTTTTGCTAGGAATATTTTTAAAATTAGAAATAAGTGCCCATCAAAACTGAGAATGACTAGCTAAGTAGCACAATATCAATGGAATTAAAATCCATATGTGTTAATATATATGTTATTCAAAGATGCATGTTGTTTAGACTTCTGTAATAAATGTTTTCTGAATACTTTCCTATAATTTTCTCTACTTAAATTCCAGCTGCAATGATTTTTCTTAGCCTAATTTTAAAACCTGTTTCTAATGTATTCCTTGTACTACTACATTTTACTGCCTCAGAACCTAAATTGCAGCTTTAACAGTAACAAAAAGCTCTATGATTATAGAATACGGAGTTTGAAATGTGTGATACATCACTTCATATTCAAGGGAAAGCTATTGTATCTAGAATTATAACGTTAAATTAAGGTTCTGCCTTCTGACATTACAAAGTACTGTAATACTGATTTTTAAATTTTTAAATTGCACTTAAAACATGGAACGTAGGGCTAGACAGATAATCTATCAAGTGTTGATAACAGTCTAGATTCAATTTCATTATTTCTGTCTCGTCACTGGTACATATAAA